GGGGTTACAGAAAATTTAGAGCAAGATCAGATAGGAGTGTTAGAAGAAAGGATGAGAGTAGTGAATAGATCAAGGCAACTGGAGATGTCGATTTGCCATGATGGCTTCTTGTAGCTGGATTGGTAAAAGTCATAATTGGTTTTTGAGTGATTTCCCTGGTGTAAAAAGACAATACAGGTTCAATTCTTGTTGGGAGGTATATTTTCTTTAGTAAGACTTCTTAATCCAGTTGAAATTAATATCATTTAAAAAAAGAAAAAAAAATCAGAGATGTCTATTCGAAAAATTTACCCATTAAAATTTAATGTTTATTATAATAAAACAAATATACAGGGTGTCCAAGAAAACAATGTATACAACCTAACCCTGCAACAGTCTAAGAATTAGAGAAGTTTGGAGAAATGATGAATTTTATTTTCAGCAAGATGGAGCATCATCATCATCACAACCATCATCATGCACAATCATACCTGAATGAAATGATAATTTATCATACCTGAATGAAATCTTGCCAAGCAGATGGATCAGAAGATGAGTATCTGTAGAATATCCTCCTCGTTCACTGGACCTTATCCTTTAGACTTTTTCTTGTGAGGGATTACTTAAAAAATAAAATCTACACTAAAAAGTCAGCAACAATCACTGAAATGAAAATTTCCATAGAGCAAGAATACAGCCAAATGCCTATTAAAATGTTGATTGCTGCTTGTAATTCCATTGCGGTGGTTGTGTTGTCAATAATCATTCGGTCATCAATTTGAAAACATGCAATGACAAAATCTTGAAGAACATGCATTTATAATAGATACTGTCTTCATACACATTATTTAAATTTATTTTTTTACTAATATTCACCCAATACAAAGCCCAAGAGCCACTCAAGGTAGAGGGTTACTGTATGGACTTAGCATAGGAAAGGACAAATGTTAGGAGTATAGAGCTGAAGTAGACTTTAGAAGGAATCAGGAACCCAAACCTAAACAGAAAACATGGGATAAACCTTTACTCTTGTTCAAAAAACAGAAGAGGAGTGTGAACCGGATGATAGGCAAGCCTGTCTACTCGTCTTGAGAATAGATAGATAGATAAATAAATAAAAGTTCTGAGTTTTAGAAGTTTAGAATTAAGTAGACTTTAGAAGGAATCAGAAACCCAATACTAAACAGGAAACAAGTGGTAAACCTCTACTCCTGTTCAAAAGACAGAAGAGGAGTGTGAACCGGACGGTAGGTGAATTAGATATAGTTGATTCTAGTTGTTGGAATTATTTCTTGAGAAAACTTCAAAATGTGTATACATTTTTTTAATTCTATTATTCTATTAAGATGTATTAAAATAATTCTATTCATATACTTTCTGTTATTTTTTCATACAAACTTCATAATAATAAAATGTTATTAAAAAAACAAATGCATTAACAGATTTGCACTATATTATTTGTCGAGACATTTGGAGCAGTGAGGGAGAAAAACAAACAGTGTAATTACAAAAGAGGCAGCGCCAATGATTTTGAAATTAAAAAAAAAAACTGATCAACAGCAATACAAGAACCTTCACCCATTTTGGGAAAATAAAACAAGTTGTGAATTAACACTCTGTCTTTAAAAATTAAATATAGTACATAGGCCACACAGAGAAAATATAAACACATTTTGTTTTTGGCTTCCCTTGAGATATATTTTTTACAAAAATTGTCTCAATGTTAAAAATCTATCCCTCGTGAGACACTCAAGCAAACAGATGCAAGTTTCCTGAATAATGACACAAATTCTTGAACAGATTGACAGAGATGACAGACATCTTTAAAAAAAAAATGTTTATAGTAATAAGGAATAATGTTAGATTATAAATAAAAATTCTTAATCCTTTAGAAATTACTTTCTTTACGTTTTGGATACAAAAATAAATTTAGCAAATATGGGTTTCAAAAAGTCCCAACAAGAGATGTGTATTGCTTTTCTGTAAAGTCTTTCATGGCTGAGTGGTTTAAAGCACACTCAGCTTGAAGGTGGTTTCCCCAGTGTAATGAAGATGCAGGTTCATTCCCTGCTGAAAGACACAATTTCTTTATTAAGACTCTCGAATACCCAATTAATGTCAGTTACACAGTTTAAAGAAAAAAAAAAGTAGAGATATCAACTTAAATGCATGTATCAATGAAAAATTATATAGAAATAAGAAATATATATATAATTACATGAATCATTCATACAAAAAACAAATATAGAGGTTAATGATTTAAATGGCAAGGATACATCTTCGCAAACAATTTCAATAAGATACACTAACCTCGAACCTGCATATGAATGATATGATCCCTGTTTATAAATTTCTTTTGTATGAATGATTCAAGTAATTATAAATTAAACTGCACCTATAATCGAAATTAAAATAACTGATCCAACGTGCAACTTTCAGATAATAAGTGTGACATTCTTGTAATTATTGAACAATATAGTTCATGCCACATTGACGGAAAACCTACCAATACAAAAGAATTCTCTTATTACTATATTTGTACAAAAACACACAACCTTAAAATTTAAAATTCAAACTCAGCGCTATGCACGCATCGCCCAAAACAATAACACATTTCTCATAGCATTTTTTGGATTACATCTATATTTTCGTTATCCTCTTATTAATGAGAAGCAAAAAAACAAGAACAAATCTATTTCCATACCTGAGGATGTCTGTAGGAACAGATGAAAGCTTGTAAAAACTAAAAAGACCTTATGCAACTTGAATTTATAAACAGGGATCATATCATTCATATACAGATTCGGAGTTAGTGTATCTTATTGAAATTGTTTTGAAGATGTATTCTTGCCATTTAAATCATTAACCTCTATATTTGTTTTTTGTATGAATGATTTATGTAATTAGAAATTAAACTGCACCTATAATCGAAATTAATATATATATATATAACAAAGAGAAAACACTAACTAGAATGCTACCACGGTTTCAACTGAGGCTAAGTAAACAACCTGATGAGACCCTGGCGGTCAAAACCATGGCAGTTTCTCAGTCAACATTTTATCTTTTTAAGATTTTAAATTTCTTTACAGATTTGATTTTTCCTTTTTACTTGAAATTGAGCATTTTTTAACGTGTATGATTTTAATAAATATTTTAATATTTGTGTATTTCTGTGTATGTGTATATATATATATATATATATATATGCTTGATTACTGTTTACTGGGCACACAATCCTAGAAGTAGACTTGAATAAAAGAGTTGAGTAAATGGAATTGATAAACACACATACAATGCTGATAATTACAATGACAAACAATGAATTCAAAGAAAGTCTAAGAATTACAACTAATAATTTACGTAAAATAACCTAACCTATTATTGTGCTAGAACTGCTTTCAATAAGCAATTATATTATACAACCTAATTATAATAAATCAGAGATAAAGTAGTAATTATGTAATCACCAATTATGGTAATCTGATTCTTCAGTAAGGCCAGGACTGTGGTTGCCAAAATATTGTGATGAGATCGCATCACTATTTTAGTCAATTAGGCTTATTCCATTTAGTCTACTGTTTTATTCAAATCATTGTCTACTTCCAGAACCATGTACCTGGTAAACAAATATATATATGTGTGTGTGTGTGTGCGTGTTTTAAAGTGTGCTATATTTATGGGATAAAGTACTCAATATCAGCGATAGAGCATACGTAAATATAAAAGTGAACATTGAAGTCAACACTCAGAGGCGACAGACCGTTTCATACTAGATGCAAGCATCAGTCCACATGAGTTGGGTTTTTTCTTGACTATTTATATATACAGGTCAGTGGTGCATTGTGGGTAGTCCATTCTAATGGTTATTTTGGCAGGAGTGGTTTGTTTATTTGGATTAATTTATCTTACTTGTTTTTTATTTATTTTTATTTTATATATCTTTATTCTTTTTGGCTTTCGATATTTTAGTAACGTAGTAAAAAAGTTTTTGAGATGAGTTCTGATCATTTATTTAGTAATTTGTTTTGGTCTGGGAAGATTATATATACACACACACACTAATAATAAATATACATTTTGTTCCTCACTAGTAGCACAACTCTGAGTTTCATGCACAATGTAATCATCAGGTGATGATTTAAAACAGAGTTGTGCTAACAGTGAGGAAAAAAAAATGTATATTTATTATTAGTATAAATTTTAGCATTGTTTTATTAACACTAGGACTCAATATGTGATACTTTACATACACACACACACACACACACACATTCATTCATATATATATATATATATATATATATATATATATATAAAATTTGTGACTTTGCTGATTGATATTATTTTCAGCATCCTGACACTAGAGTTTCGTAGATGGAACCTTCCGCAATCGCTCCATCCACTCGTCAGGAGATACCAGCAATTGACTTACTGGAGGGTCTGTTTATGAAACTAGAGTTGGGATGCTGAAAATAACATTAATCAGCTAAGTGACAAATTTTATATTTGCATTAATCTTATTGATATTGAGATTTCATTGCAAAGACTGCTTGCCTTAAATGTCCTTTCTTTCAGACTATCACTGACTGACAGCATTTCTGGCTTCATGCTATCTCTGTTATTGCTACATATATATATATATATATAATAGGATAAGGAACAAATAGGAAAATTTTATAAATCTAACATGTTTCACTTTTATTAATTCTTCATCAGAGAATGAAATATAGAGGAGAAAAGGGAAATTCTGATATTTTTAATTTTTTGTTCTTATCCTATTATTCTGTCAGATTCCAATCTTTATTTGATCCCAGTTATATATATATATATATATATATATATATATATATGTATGTGTGTGATAGTCTAACTGCAGACTCAGAGTTAATTCTTTGAAAGCTGAAGAACATTTGAATGAAATGTAGAAACAATTTGGAAGTAATTTCATTGAAACTTTTTAGAAAATATGCGTGCAGGTAAATAATCACCTTCTGTTTTAATTTTTTTTTTTTTTTTTTTCATTTAGTCTCAGCAACCTGAGTATGAAAATTACTATCCTTGCTGGTAAGGTTGCTACTAGGTTGCAAGTTCACTTGGGCAGCTGAGTACATCTGAATTGTTGGGAAAATCTGTGTTGTAGCAGGAGAAATCTGGATGGTTGGAAAAATGTGAGTGATGGGATTAAGAGTACCGGTCACCCCAGTACTGGTTTGGTAAATCTGTGTTGGGGCACCGGTATCGCTGTTTGCCGTACCAGTAACAATAGGATAAAATTTGGCAGCATTTGGAATAAGAGCTGCAAGCTCATTGGGTACAACAGTAACGGCTGTTGGTGTTGCAGCAACTACAGGTGTAATTGCTACAGTTGTGGGAGTACCAGCCTGTGGTTGTTGATGGATATGATGACTGCCACTCGATTGGTTTTTACATTCATGACAGTCAATGTCTGTGACAGAATTATCGCTGGAAGACAGGCCAGAAATAGATGTCAACGTGTTTGAAGTGCTGTTAGTGCCGCTCGGGTTTGTATGGACGTTATCTTGTGAATGATAATTCTGTTCTTCTAGGACATCAGCTGGGGGCAAAGATGCAGTTTCCATGGTAACACAGTCCAGTTTCTGCTCACAGAGATTAAGCCTCTTGTGTTTTAAAAGGTGATCACTACGAGCAAATTCACAGTTGCATAAGTCACACCTGAATGGTCTCTCCCCTGTGTGAATACGACGATGTACAGCAAGGTGGTCACGTCGGGAGAGCGCTTTACCACATACATCGCAGGTGTATGGCTTATAGCCTTGATGCGAGCGTTGGTGACGTAGGAGATGATCATCTCGGGTGAAGCTCCGGCCACACACTCCACACTGAAATGGACGTTCACCTGAGTGGATACGATGGTGAAGTTTCAGATAGGATTTTCGGAGGAATGACTTACCACAGAAATTACAAATGAAGAGCTTTTCTCCTTGATGGTTGCTCAAATGACGCTCAAGATTGTCTCTGCGGGAGAATACCTTGCCACAGAGATTGCAAGTTGGAGATTTTTTCATGTTTGAAAAAGAAAAATATATCAATTCTTTCAGTTCAGAGAAAATTGAATGGCTTTATAACTGTATGTCTTTAAGGTGTTTTCGAAAGGAGGATCAGGTCTTTTTTCATCATTAAGAGAGGAAAAAAAAAAAAGGATATTTAAAATATTAAAAAGAAGTTAGATAAAAGTAAATTAAAAACTTAAATTGAGCTTTTTAATCCAATCTCTTTACTCATGAACAGATCCTATTGTTGAATTTTCTTTCATTTTTCTTTATATTGAAATCCACATTGATGCTTAATATTCAAGAATGAAATTAAAGGTTCCAAATATGAATATAATCTTCCTCCTTTTAAACAAATATATAAACTTACTTTTTTTCTTCTTTTTTTTTATTTATATGAATTATATATTATAATATGAATTAAAGTGTTTATTTTAGAACTATTATGAATTCAGATATTTATTTTATAAATTATTAGATGAATTAAGTTATTTATTTTTACATGAAGTATATGGATTTAGTTATTTATTTTATTGGAATTATGAATTATTATATGACATATATCATAATTCTTATAAGTATATTCATATAAGAATATATTATTAAGTATCTAAAAATACCTACCAGTTATTTATTCATATTTTTCCAGTGTCAATTCTATTTGAACAGATATCTATTTATAACTTATTTGTTGAAATAAAATCTTTCAGGTTTATTTCCAACTTATTTAAATGTATATTTATAGTAAATTCACAGATTTTTATGGTTAAAACATGTACATAAAAGTAAGTATCTCTATTTAAAAGTTACATAAATATTCACTTTTTAAATATCAGTAAATTTGTCTCTGGTAGATATGTACTGATTTATTTTTTTCACGCATTTTAAATGTAAAATCTTTCAATAAATTTTGATTAGGAAAAATATATACATTGAATTTCTTCAATAAATGTTTCCAGTGAAATCTGTATAAACATTTAATTTGATTTTCTTGACATATATATATATATATATATACACCTTGATAGATATAGTTTTGGTATGAGGAAATCTTGTAGTAAAAATAAAAAATTTAAAAATTATTTATATTTATAAATGTGAAAGAAAAAGATTCCACATTAAGTATTTTCCTATAATTCTCTCATTTAGAGAAAAATAAAAACAGGTATGAACTCTAGATTATTTTGTAAGATTATGACTTATAGGGAGGGATATGTCTTTGCTGGTGTTTGAAAGATGCCAATCAACTTATAAAGAATTTCATGAAATAATTTTTTTCCATCTGATTGATTCTCAACAAAGCATTCCTCACAAATATAACAAAGAACCTCAGAATATACTCTTTCATGAATTAGTCTTGAAATGTTGGTCATCCATTCAATTAATAAAGGTTCAACCTATTTTCTTAAATATCAATTTTAATAAATAGTTTAGTTTTTTTTCATGTTTGGAAAATGAAAATGGCTCTTAAGGCTCAGAACATTACTGAACATAGTTTTAGATAACTTTTCTTCTCAAGAAGTAAATATACCAGAATGAAAAACAAATAAATAGCAGGAATTACATCCTCAGAGATAAAAGTTGTTGGTTAAGACAATAGGATTCAAACAAAAGTATCCAGTAGGTCCAATCTGAAAAATATAGAAAAAATATTTTATAAATATTGAAAGAAATACACATTTTCATTTGTTAAAGAGAGAAAAAGAAACAGAGGTAGAGGGAGAGTGTGGGGAGATACAGTGATTTGTTTGTCAATATATAATAATGGTAAGTGCATTAGGTTACTCGATATAAAAAATTGAAAAGGTAAGAAACATTTGAGATAGATAGACAGATCATAGATATCTATTGATTGGGATGCAGAAAAATATATTCATATTCTTCTTTAACTTGAATAAAAAGGGAGTACTTTAAAATAAAAACCCTAATGAACTTCTCTAAAGACATTTTTCATTTTATTTTAATTTTTTTTTATCAATAATTTACAGATATTTTTCTTGTTTCGGAAAATGCATATTTTGTTCTCAAAATTTACTTTTTTTACTTATCAATTCTAAAAATAAAATATACCAATTTAGATCTGAAAAAATATTTACGAAGACAATAAATTAATTTCTTCATATTTTACAAAATAATTATCTCACGTTTAATTTTATACAAAAATTCTGAATTAAAAGGAAATATTTAAAAGGTAAAAGTGAACTTTTGGTTGTGAAATTAATATCGGGTTCCTGTATTTTTGGCTGTTAGGGCATGTTTACTGTTAGTGCGAAAAAACGTGCATGTGTTGGATTTTTTTTTTTTTCTCAAAATGCGCAATTTCCTTCTTTGTTTTTTTAAAAAAAGAAAAAAAAATAAGTCATTATTTGTGATCTTATGAAGCCATCAACTTATTTCATGTGCACAGGGTGCAGAAAAAAAGAAAAAAAGAATGTAATTTCGGATGTAAAAACAATGACAATACACAGCAGTAAGTATCCTTGTTTGTAATAATGAGAATTTTTAAGTCGGTCTTCTTGTCTTTCGCTGCTACGATTCCAAAATTAATTTTTAAAAATTACAATTAGAAGTGATTTTTTTTTACGTGCTTCTAAACTTACCTCAATGATTCTAGCTTGAAACATTGTCTTGGTTATAGCAAATGCATTAGACAATGTAAATAAAGGCTAGTCAAGGAGCGAAAAGGTAGACAGTATCTGACATTAAGAAATAATAATCGTACAGACATAAGCTTGTAAACACAAGGGAGATAATCCACAATTTTCAATCGCTGTAAATGTACGGATATGAATAGTAGTAATTTTGGAATTGAAATCTACATGATTTGGACTTTGGAGGTGTCGAGAGTTTTATATAAGTGAATATATTTGTCCATCAAAGGTTGATATCTAACATCAAAATCTATAAATTCACAACGAAGAGGAAATAGGCGTTTTTTTTTGTTTTTTTTTCTGAAGATGTTCTTTCAATTTGGTTATATAAAATTTGTGTAAAGAACCTCACTTGGCAAAAAAAAAAAAAAAAAATTTTTAAGTGGTTTCCAAGCATTAAAAATCCATATTTTGTTTATCAGTTTTTTTGTTTTTTTTGGCCACTTCACGCAACTATTTACTTTTTAGCCAAGTTCAGCAGATTTTGTATACGAGGGGGTGGTGAAAAATTCTCAAAATCAATAATTCAGTAACTAAACAAAAAACTCCCGATTTTGATGGGTTGTGCTGAGTATTTTTTAGTAACCTCTTTCCTTAAGAACCTCAGACTTGACATAAAAATTATTCTGATGCTATCCCAAGTGTCAGCTTTTTTTTGTGGTGGATGGGATATTTTATTCTTTTCAGAAAATCATGCTTAAACACGTTTATAAAATAACCTTTGATTTTAGGTTGAAACAAAGATATATGAACATCTTGTTACATTTTTATAACAAGAATGGGTCTTTACGCTCAGTAGCACCAATTTCACAAGTTCAGTGAAAACAACAATAATTAAAAAGTTTTAGCAATTTCTCAGCTATGGATTTTCATAGTTGTTACAAAGCAGAAAAAAAAACTTTCTTTGCTTTCTATCCAAAGACTGAAATAACTAAAATTAGTCTGCTCAGGTTGATGTCAGATTTTTTCTTTTACTAAGTAAAAAGTAATTCAGGTATAGTAATTGTTCTGATAAGGTTTCATCTTTAGTAGCTTAACTTTACAAATTTAAGCACAGTACTAGATTGACAGATAAATTTTATGATTGAAATGGCATGATGTAACCGTAAGTTCTATGCTAACAGTTTCTTCTCACTTGTGGAACTCTCATTTTGCCTCTTGCTTCCCAAAAATTTAAATGCAATGTACCAATTGTTATATTCTGTCTTCTTAATTGCTGTTCTTTCATTCTCTCTCCTTCATAAAGTTTTTCTCATTATCTTTCACACTTAGTAATCCCTTGCATCTTAGTGGCTTTATTGCCTTGTCTGGGGTGAAATGATTAAAAATATATATTAAAGATCAAGCACTGATGAATTTTGCAGGAGCAAGAAGAAAGTTTTTGATTTACAAAAAACTTTGTGCTTTCTCATGTTAACTAAATAAAAAGCATAAAAAGAATATTTTTGTACATTTATATATGTATACATATAAGTAGACACTGAGGTCAAACACTGAGTGGCAACAGTCTGTTTCATACTTGAATGCAATCTTTAGATGGTCTGAGGAGTGTGTTCAAGCATGAAACAGGCTATGGCTGCTCAGTGTTGACCTCAGTGTCCACTTTTATATTTACATACATTCTATTCCTGATACTGAGCACTTTTACCTATAAATATAGCATACTGAAAAACTATATTTTTAACGTGATAAAAATATAGTTTTCTGCAATAATTTAAACTAAAAGTAATATCTGTTTTAAATCAGATTGATTAAACTTTAAATTAGCTAATCTTCCTCAAATAAAGTTTTAAATAAAATTTATTTTATTTTTGAAAGACTTTTTATTTTACTAAAGAGAATTACATTGTGCTGACGGATGGCTAAAAATGCCTAAAATCAGTGATTATAATGATTTTAAAAAAATCAAACTCCTTCCAGTCAATTTAAATTAGTTTTGAAATAGAAAAAAGTATTTTAATTAGTGAAAAAGTTCAATCTATTAGCTTGAAATTAAAACTAAAATAAAACCTTCAAGAAAGATGTACAATTTTTTAAAATTCATTTTAAAAATTTGGTATCACTTTTCTTTGGAGGTACCTATATATATATATATATATATATATATATATATATATATATATATATATATATAAATAAAAGGGCAGTCCTTTATTCTCTTTTCTGTGACTCATCTTGAAAACAAAATATCTAATGAATTAAATGAATTCACTCTTTATACAAATTACATAGACAATATGTTCATATAAACAAAAATCTGTCAATGATACATGTTTTTATGTAATACCATACTCACTTTAGTGTTGAAGAAAACAATGTGACAAGTAATTTCTTTAATTCTGCTCGGTGAGGAGTGGCTCTTATGCACATGTTTAATCATCTGCACATCAGCTCAGAAGAGCAAACATCCTGCAAGTTGGGGGTGCAGCATTGTAGCTACTCCTCTCCACCACCAAAGCCACTCTCCTAAAAAATAAGTTAAATACCATTTAACTTTTCTTTCATGCTTTTACTTTAAATTGCTTTTTAATTTTACATTTTGAATAAAAAGTAGAAAAAAGCAAATAATTCAAAATGTTGTAGTAACAAGTTCAATAATCAAAATAACTCCATTTTGTTTACTAATATATTTATGGGAGTGTGGCCACATTGCTTAGAATGCTCACTTTCTGACCGTGATATGTCTCCAATTTGTATTTAGATACATTGTATTTATTTTTAGTTTTTCTAGTTGTTCACCTCTATTGCATAGCATCCATTATTGTACATAATTCAGTTAGTTATGTGCCATGCATGATACACGCTTAGGTGATCATGTAACTTTCAATACATGACTGACGAGACAGAGTTTTTTTTCCCCGCAGTAGGTTGCCATTTCTTTTTGCAATAGACCAATTGCCATCCAAGGCTATAGAACCTGGTCCGTCCTATTTACCCATAGCTGGTGGGAGAAGAGGAGGATTCGTACCTTTCCCAAGGGTATTAGCATGTTAGTGAATGTAATGAATTTGACTGGAATTGAACTCAGCTCTCTGATTCCTCAATCCATGCCTCCTAGTCAGTTATGTGCTATGCATGATGCATGCTTAGGTGATCATGTATCTTTCTATACATGACTGACGAGGCAAATTTTTTCCCGCAGTAGGTTGCCATTTCTTTCTGCAATAGACCAGTTGCCATCCAAGGCTATAGAACCCGGTCTGTCCGGCTATTTACTCATAGCTGATGGGAGAAGAAGAGAATTCATACCGTTCCCAAGGGTATCAGCACATAAGTGAATGTAATGGATTTGACTGGAATTGAACTCGGCTCTCTGATTCCTCAATCCAAGCTGCTATCCATAACTCCACTGTGCTTTTTCTGTACATAATTAGGTTACAATTTTCATAAGGTAGTATCTATATAAAAATACAAATTTTATTGTACATAATTAGGTTACAATAAAATTTGTATTTTATATGAATACTACCTTATGAAAATTGAGGTGTAGTAGAGTGGGGGAGGTTCATGCCATAGATTTGGTGGGGGCCCACAAGACCCTTGCACTGGCCCTGCCTAGACATATCCACTGTTGTTACAGCTATAGTACATGGTATGCCCTTATGACTCTTATGGCTTATGAGCCTCATGATTTGTGAGGATTGTTACGAAGATGTGTTAAAATATACACTTGAACAAAAAGAAATGATTCTCTACTGATAATCTGTTGTGTTATCTTAAAAAATTATCCAAGCTGACAATAAAATCCACAACTATTTTTGGAAATAAATTGGTTTATGAATGCAAACAAACTTTCTTGGAAAATGAGATAAAATATATTAAACTAAATCATGATTATAAAAAGTAATTTTCTTTCTAGCAATACTGGCTTAAATTCTTAATCTTGGAGGTTAATAAATTTTAAGAATGTAAACTAGTATTTGCATTCTTAGTGGTTAATAAACATTGCGTATGGCCATGTTTTGTGCTGGTGAGACAGAAAAGTACTAGGAATAGGAAAAAAGTCAGTTATGTCCTGACCACCAAAAAGAAGAGGTATTGAGCAAAATTTCATGGGAAAATTAGCTCAGAGGGAGGTGTTGTACTGGGATGTCCCACACTCCCTATCACATATGTGGACTGACTATATCAGTAGTTATACATAGTAAGCACAGAATATACCTGGCAGGCTTGCTTCGGCAATTAGTTGGAGATTTGTCTCCAACAGTGCTGGTCGAACTCTCCGCCTTCGGGCAGAGAGAAACCCAGACAAGGCTATGCCAAAGGGCAGAGTCTCATCTGGGGTGGTAGACAGCTACTTGATCCTGTGTATTCGGGGTCTATGGGGAATTTTTGCCTGAGTCTACAGGCTCGGTTTTGACCCCGCAATAAAAACGGCCTTGTGCTACATCCTACCATGCATGGGGGGTAAGGTAAATATCCTTGCTTTGGGAATTACTAGCTTACTAACCGATTCCCTGTCTTTCAGTAGTGTATTCTCTTTTACAATGAACCTCTCTTTCTTTCATCTACGCTTGTGTTGCTGTTCCTTTCACTCAAGTGTCACCTTTGTCTGTTTGTAAGCTCTTTAAGGTTACAACACCATATCACATTGAAACACTATTCCTCATCTCATCACCAAAGTTAAGCAATATCGAGCCTGGTCAGTACCTAGATGGTCGCCCACTTGGAAAAACCTGGTGTTGTAAGTTTAGATGTACAGGTGGTGTAATGGATAATGGCTTGATTTCCAGTTGAGTTCATTGCATTCACTTACATTTGGGAAAAGACTAAATCCATCTCTCCTCCTCCAAGGTATGGATTAAATACTTGTACAGACTGTGTCCTGTAGCCTTGGTTGGTAACCAGTTTACAACAGAAAGTAATGGCAGCCTTCCATGGGAATTCTTCTGCCAAGTAAATTATGAATCAAAAAAAGACATGATTGCTCAAACGTACATCACACATGGCACTTAAGGAAGGCAGGAATAAAT